TTGGGGGCAATATGCTGACTCTCTGTAAACCGCTTAGAGAGGCCTGAAAGGCCTATGAAGCGGTATATAAGTTTACTGCTATTGCTATTGCTATTACCTTCCTTCTCAGTGTGCAGAACTCTCCCCACTGATCAAATTATTTTGCCACCTGAGGCAGGAAAAAAGAATCCCCCACTTTCAACAGTGGAAAGCCTCTGGCCCTCCTTCCCTCTTTCCAGTATGGCCTGGCAGTTTGCTAGCTCTTTTGCATCTTTGAGTGCCTCTGACGAAGGGTGTAAAGTCTGTGTGGGTTTTAAGAGAGCTGAGAAGTTGACCAGAATAGATACTAAGCATTATTAAAATGGCTGTTGTTGTTGCTAGTTGTGAAGTCATGTCTGACCCATCATGACCCCATGGACAATGTTCCTTCAGGCTTTCCTGTCCTATACCATCCCTGGAGTCCATTTAAGCTCACACCGACTGCTTCAGTGTCTCCATCCAACCACTTCATTCTCTGTCATCCCGTTCTTCTTTTGCCCTCAATGTTTCCCAGCATTAAGCTCTTCTCCAGTGAGTCCTTCCTTCTCATTAAGTGGCCCAAGTATTTGAGTTTCATCTTCAGGATCTGGCCTTCTAAAGAGCAGTCGGGATTGATATCCTCTAGGACTGACCGGTTTGATCACCTTGCACTCTGAGGGACTCACAGGAATCTTCTCCAGCACCATAGTTCAAAGGCCTCAGTTCTTTGGTGCTCAGCCTTATAATTTTGAAACAAATGGTTGTAAGTCCTGAATGGACTCCTAGAAGATTCAGATTGATGGTTAAACTATAAACTATAAGGAAAGGTTTAAAAAAATCAACAGTATCTTTTACAATACCATAAATCCAGTTTACCAATGCAGCTCTTCATCAAAAACGTTCTTATCTCCTTCCATAAAGATGCCATCACTTTTTACATTTATCTTCATTCCAATTACATTGCAGGACGGATACAATTATGGGGGCATCCGATTGCTGTAGATTGGGCAGAACCAGAAGTTGAGGTGGATGAAGATACAATGTCATCTGTTAAAATCCTCTACGTGAGAAATCTTATGTTAACTACTGCTGAAGAAACCATTGAAAAAGAATTCAACCACATTAAGCCAGGTAAAAAAAATATGTCAATATTTTAGTAAACTCAACGGTTTAATAAACTAATCCATCATTTATCTTTTAAAAAAAACACTAATTCCAATTGAAATATTTTTAATTTGTACGAATGTCAAAAAAACTAAAAGTAAGAAAAAACCAATTTATTGTCCACAAACAATATTTGGGTTGAAATAAATTACAGCTTTAGTTACACCTTCCATTTCCTTGGAAGTATGTCTTTCTTTTAGCATTTTTTTCTCCACTTGGATTAAACAGGAGCCAACAATGTGCAGCAGCAGCCAAAAAAGCCAACACTTTTGCTAGAGGCTTCATTGATGGATAGAATCAAGATCACATGAAGTATTAGTTCCACTTTACAAAGCCTTAGTAAGACCACACATGGAATAGTGAATCCAATGCTGCTCACCATGATGTACAAAAAATGTTGAAACTCTGGAAAGAGTGCAGAGAAGAGCAAGAAAGATGATTAGGGGCCTGGAAGCTAAAACATATGAAGAATGATTGCAGAAATTGGATGTGTCTACTCTAGTGAGAAGGACTAGGGGAGAAAATAGCAATAGCAATAGCAGTTAGACTTATATACCGCTTCATAGGGCTTTCAGCCCTCTCTAAGCTGTTTACAG